AACGCTGTTTCCGAGACAATCTCCTTCGATTCCGATGAAAAGGGGCTAAACTTTCGTCCGTCATTTGACGAATATCATTTTTGTAACAAAATTCAAACTAATGTATCAAGAAGGAAATTACCTTAGAAACAGTGTCAACATGAATGTTCCAATAAAGCTAGGCTTCGAGGTTGACATATGACCGTAACTAACCAAATCGCTTTATAGGTGATCAAGGAGGCCAGGTATAGAGTATATATACAGCTTTTTATGGATTTGCCGGTAAGTTTTCTTGACTCGTTAGCTTCAATTTGGTTGTAACGATGCTACCTTGCTCTGATGATGTTTGCCAATTTGACGGACGAAAGCTTAGCATCTTTTGCAAAGAAAAGTCGGGTTTCGAGGAATCTCTTGTTTTATAATTATGGAGATTACTTGCATTTCGAGGGAAAGTGTTGGGTGAAGAGATTAGAAGGTCGGTTCCACCAGAAGACGATGGCCGATTCCTCTTGACCAGCTGTCATCGGACTGCCGACCGGGTGAATTGCAAAACTGCACGTAGCCATGACATACGGACTGTCCAATCTTTTCCTTTCCTGATGTTGCCATTCTGTCAAGTTTATAAAAGGACAGGTGACCAACTGATTAAGAGGAATTAGCACTGACTTGAGTAAAGTCTTCTGTTTGACAATTTTGGAATCTCCTTCTAGCTCAGAATGCTACGGCGTTTTGTCGTCATGCCGTATTAAATGCGTTGTGGAGACCTGCCGATTCATACATAAGAGGCGATCAGAACACAAAACCGCTTGTAGAGAAAGGCCTGTGGGTTTTAAAATCTAAACTCGCTGAGCACATGACTAGTACAGGACAAGAAATCGAACCGTACGTACATTGTGGATACAAAGATAAACTTGGTTTCAATGAAGCTCCTGAGGTAACATTGTTAGGGGGACCTTTATTTCGTATGCAAGTGCATGAAGAAGAGATTCGTTGGTCGGTCTCACCAGATGACGACGGATGAAACTCTTTGTACCGCAGCCGGTTGGATTTTATACGATTTTCATGTCGACGCAGTCTACAGGAATTCCTCGTTTCGGGTAAAAACGGACTGAGCTTTCGTCCATCATTCGATGCACGTCATTAGTGCTGGGTGTCATTCTTGTAAATTCTCACATTAACGCTAACGCAAGAAGACTATCCGGCTTTATCTTACCTCATATATAGACTCAGTTACGCCAAAAGAAAATTATAAATTCAAAACCGAGATGGATATAGAGTGGTTTGGCTAATTATCTTTCATACTTGTCCTGCTACTTTTGCTCGAGTGTATGTG